TTCAAGTATTTGTTTATTCTTGTTATGCAAATAGTTTGTTTTATTTTTTAAGTAATTTTTTGTTAGAAATATTGTTCATGTATTAATTTATTTTTATTTAGCTTTTTGTTGTAAATATACTTCAGGAAAAGAGTGTTGGTGTGATTCTTTTCAAACGTGTGCAAAAGATTTAATAAAAAATAATACATGTGGTTCATTTGAATGTACAGACTATTGTTATTATAGTTGTTTGTTCTAATTTATGTTTAATTAATAACTTGTCAGACCATTATTTAAAATTATATAGTTCCTACAACTACTGCATATAACTTTGCTTTCTTATTCTTTGCTTTTATATTTGTTATTGCTCTTCTCCTAGCAACAAATTGTTTTTGTTATTATTCTGGAACATTACCTTATCAAACAAAATTAAAAAATAACGGTTGTATTACTCATGACTTACACACTAATGGTCCTTTTGAAGATGAGCAAACAGAAACACCTCTATCTATTTCAAAAGAAGATGAAAATATCTATCGTCCAGAAATTCTCTAATTTGTTCATTATTAATTCTAACAATATTTTTAGTATTATTTTTGTTATTAAAAAGAGCTATTTCTCAATAAAACAACAAGAAATTGTTTTTGTATTGAGAAATGTCTATTCTAATTTCTTCATTTCTGTACTTTTATTATAGAATATTTCTACTGCTATTTTTGTTTTATCAAAATAAAAAATTGTTTTGTTTTTAAACCTTACCTATTTTAAATTATAGATTCTATAATAACGTGCAGCAACAATTGGACTTTTGAGAAGAAGAGTCTCCTTCCACATCCTTTTGCAATTTGCCTGAACTTGTTTTAGGCATATCAATAGAAACGGCACCATTTGTTTTTGATATTTGACCAGTTTGTTTGTCTATATTAACTTCTAAATTTTGAGTATTAACTGGTTGTTTGCATTGTTCGTCAACCTTATTTTCTTTAATTGTTTTATTTTTCTTTCTTTCTTTACTAATTTCATTTTCCTTAGTTGTTTTATTTTCTTTCGTTGTTTCACTTTCTTTATTTGTTTCACTTTCTTTATTTGTTTCACTTTCTTTATTTGTTTTATTGTCTTCATTTGTTTCACTTTCTTTAGTTGTTTCACTTTCTTTACTAATTTCATTTTCTTCATTTGTTTCACTTTCTTTAGTTGTTTCACTTTCTTTATTTGTTTCACTTTCTTTAGTTGTTTCACTTTCTTCATTTGTTTCACTTTCTTTATTTGTTTCACTTTCTTTATTTGTTTCACTTTCTTCACTTGTTTCATTTTCTTTAGTCGTTTTACTTCCTTCTATTATTTCATTTTCTTTAGTTGTTTCACTATTTTCACTTGTTTTACTTTCTTTAGTTGTTTCACTTCCTTCACTTATTTTATTATCTTCACTTCCTTCACTTGTTTTATTTTCTTCACTTGTTTCACTTTCATTAGTTGTTTCACTATTACTAACATGAGTCCTAGGTGTTCCATTTGTGTCATTGGTACTAATACAGTGTTTATCGATAGTCTTAAGTTTATTTTCTAGTAGCATAATTTCTTCATTTTTTTTCATACATTCGTTATAGCTAAGAGTTAAGTTTTTATTCATAATATTAATACTGTTAATTAAGCTATCTAATTTATTTAGATTATGTACTTCTTTTTTCTCTGATACTAAAATCCATTTTCCTTTATCTCCAAAGCCCATATTTATATTATTGTTTTCAATTTCATACTCTTTACATTTTCCAGTCTTTACTTCTTCTGGAACTAAATACCGTTTCCCAGAGACATGAACAACATCATTTTTTCCAAAGGCATACGTTTTAATATCATCTCCATCTCTCCATTCTGTCTCATCTGCGAGAACTTCAATTTCAATTTCAAACTCTTCTTTGCATCCAGTTAATTTGTTAATTGGATTTACTTTAGTTCCACTAACAATTCCAGGTGGAATACTAACTAAATATTCAGAAATTCCATTCTCAGTTTGTTCAATATACCCTTTCATCACTCCATTCCAACTTTCAACTAAAGAAATAGTAATTTTTCTATACTGAATAAATCTATCTAATTCAGCTATTGTAGATAAAACAGAAGCAGAATCTCTTCTGTGAAAATCTTTATGTTCCATCAAACTAAAATAAAAGTTCATTTTTTAAAAGTCATTTTAAATAAAAGACTAAATTAAAATATTTTAATTATTTAATAAGATAAAAATCGTTATAGATATATCACAATTTGATTTTCTTCATATTGGAAAGTAATTACTTCAGTGATTCAGTATGCTCTACTTCTACAATAGAGTTCATTTCTAAGATATGAAAATTAGAAGGTTCTTCTTCTAATGTATTACCAGAGTTGAATATGTAGAACATTAAGTCTTTCATGTTTTTAATAATGATATTTGTAGTATTTGTTGAATTTGATTTATAACTTTAGTGTTTTCAATCTTCTTATTGTTTCTTTATGTATCAGCCCATTGATTGTTAATATTACAGGTATTATTTCTACATAAGTTATTTCTCTACTTTGTATTAACTTCTCTTGTAATTCTTTGTATTTATTTATTTTGTAAATATAATTTAATTCTTTATTTCTATCTTGACATATATCAACATCATTAATATATCCTTTTTTCTTTGATGATTTGATAATATATATCTGATATTCTAATATTAAAAGAATGGTCACTAACCAATAAATCTTTATTGAAAGTTATAACAATTTCATCATTATTAATATATTTATGAGGTGTTTTAAAATTAATTGATTCAAATTCAATAAAATATGTAATTAGTATATGTTTATATATTTGTTTACACACATACTCATGTTTTAATATTTGATTATTCTTCATTATATAACATCCTAACAATATATGGCTAATAGATGCAATTGTTTTATAACAATTTTACAATAAATTACTATATCAATAAGAAGTATTTAGATTTAATACTTCCTGTTATAGTTACTCATTCTTACATCTTTACTACTTTGATGAATGCATTTCTTTTTATATTTAATGACATCTATCTTGCTACTGATAATTTCCTATCATTAAATATACAATTTACATTTCTTATATATTCACCACATTTCCTTCCATTCATTTAAATATCATTTATTTTATTTATTAGAAATTCAAATACTTTGTTTATGTCATGTTTTCTTTCATTTAATTGTATTATATTCATTCATTGAAATTAATATTCTTACCAAATAATTTCTTCATTCTTTTAATTATTCAATTTGGATTCTCTTTTATTATTTTTATCATTTTTTTTATTTCTTATTTGTTTTTGTTCATGATTATGATATTGTTTATACCATCACTATGTTTTATTATGATTTATCTGTATTATAACACTGATTGTTTCTATTTGAATTAATGATAAAATACTTATGATGATGAAAATGGTTAAAGTGATGAATGAAATGGTTTATACCATTATTATTATAATTGATATGATAATTGTTATGTTGATCGTTACTATTATGGTAATGATTATTGTGATGATTAATGTATTTCTGTCCATGCAGACAATACTTATTTTCACTCATTCTTCTATCATTTATATTTCATGACTAATACTGATTTCCCCTCCTTTTGTTATTGATTTTTGTATCTTCCATATGTTTCTGAAATGAATCGTTTTTTTAACAAAACATAATTAAAAACTGAACAATTTAAAAAGAACTATCCTCTTCAATTACTTGTTGTTTTAAAAAATTAGCACTGTTATATAAATTATAAGGTTTTGAAGTATCTACACATTCAAGCCAACTACATTTTATTGCATCTTTAGCAGTCCAACGTAATGTAGATTCATAACGTAATAATCCACTAACAAGAATAAGAAGATCTTTGTCATTTGTATTTGAAAGTTGTTTACTAAAAAATTCACTTATTGGATGGTCTGTACTAGTTAATTTGATTTCTCTTGACTCATTACATAGTTTAGAAAAATTAGTAGTAATATTATTTTGAGTCATTTCAAGTAAAATAATACCACAAGACCATGGATCTATTTTATCAGAAAGAACATAAGAAGGTATTTTATCAGAAGGAACATCAATACCTTGGTTATCATATTCCTGAAGTAATCTTAGAAGATCGACAATTTCTGGTGGTGCATATTTTTCAGAAATACAATCAAGTGTATAACATCTAAATGAATATTTAGCCATTCCAAAATCTGCTATTTTTACAACACCATTTTTTAATAAAATATTTTCTGGTTTTAAGTCTCTATGAACAATATTATTTTCATGCATATATAATACTCCTTCCATAATTTGTTTAAATATATGTTTTGTTCTTATTATATCATTGCCAAGGTCTGCCCCTATTATTTGTCTCAAATTACAATCACAATATTCCATTAATAATTCAAGTTCATTCTTTCCTGAACAAACTCCCAATATCCTTCTTTTTTAATTCTCTTTTAGTTCTTTATACATTTAAATTAAAACAAACTTTATAATATTTCTGTGATTCAATTGTCTTAATAAACATATCTCCCTTAGTCCTGATGACGTAATTCCCATCCCATCTATATTTTCTTTATTATACTTTTTTATTACAATGTACTGATGTGTAACATTGTCTATTGCTTTAAATACTACTCCAAATGTTCCTTTTCCTAATTTAGCTAAAAGTGTAAATCGTGAGTGTAAACATATCCTTTCTGTCATACTTTCTGAATATTTTTATTGGTTCCGTTTTTCTTTATCTTTTTATTATATTATTCTATTTTTAATACTATTAATTTCCAATTTTTTTTATTTTTTTTTAAATTCATTATTTTTTTTAAGTTCTCAATTGAATGCATCATTCTTTTCGAGTAACTCTTGGATTTTTTAGATTGTTCTAAAAATAGGGGAGCTTTATTTTTTACAATAAGACGACTTTTTAAAAGACAACAAGACTGCCACTTTAAATGGTGAGACAAGGAATGTCTTTTGACCGACCTAGTTGAGCTGAGTATAATTTAATGAAAGAAACTACAACTCGAAAAATAATAACCCCAATGAAATAGAATGAAGTAAAAATACTATAAAAATATTATAAAATACTAAATTTTGTGTAACCAAAAAGAAAAAGGAAATAAACACAA